AACAAAAGTGCAAAAATCATCCCAAAGAATTACTTTTGGATGCAGTTTGTTTGTATTTTTGCAGTAAACGGCTGTATTTTAAGTGGAGACTGACAAGAAGGAGACAGCTGATGAGGCACCAGGCTTCGTTATTTAATTATGCAGTGAAATCATTGATGCTGTAGTCAAAGCTGTGGCTCATTTTTATTTTACTTTATAAATGTGTGCTGCAGAGTGTGCAACATTACACTTATATATATGTATATATATATAAAATTATGTGTTCAGTTGAGGTGAAATTAAATGAGCTTTGCCTGTAGCAGCTGTTGAATATTACCAGTAAGGCAAATGCTGGGAGAGCTGATGCTGATATTTAATGGTGTCCATGCCAGATGGAGAGGCTCGCAAGTCACAGTGGGGGAAGACTCAGTGGGAGGAAATGTAATAAACCAGAAACTCCACCAATCACACGACAGTGACAGTTAATGGAGGGGTGGTGAGAGAACTTGTACCACAACAAACATCCGATTTAACAGTTGGTCTCTGATTTAACCCCTCACGGATTTCACGAAAAAAAGCCAAAACCAACAGTGAACTGAGGGGTATACTACGAAGCAAGTTTGACATAGCCAGGCTTTCTTTGTGTAAGCTGAATCGACAAAACCGAAAGCCCCAGCCAGAGATTACAGATATCACGAAGTTGACTGTAAACTCTCTTTCAACTCAGACTTTTTGCTTCAGACTCTGTGCGCGTTCACATGAAAAGGGGCGTTTAACGAGTCACGTGACTCTTCTTCTGCACAAAATGAAACCATCGTGTGCAGCTGCTTCAGTCAGCACATTGTTTTAAAGGGGAACAATGAGGAATACATATATTTTTTAAATGTGACGGTAAAAAGCGCTGCTACTGCAAATGGTGCAAGACGGGAATGCCGGTAGAAAACTGTTAAACGTGTTCATATATAATATTTTACCGATTTATTTCCAACTGCACGTTAAAGTTAAACTTTAAACATGATCTTGTATTGAAGTGCATTTAGGTCTTACACTGTCCTATAATGCAGAATATCACTTTATTGTTTGGCCCAATCAGAGCAAAATTAATGTAATTGATTGAGTATTTTCTATAATAAATACCAGTAGAATAATCCATTTTCTCATTTACAGTACCAGCAGTTTAAACGGACTTGACAGAAAATAGGGGCCAAACATAAAAGCACATTTATGAGATTTGTGCATCACCGGTCGTTGTGGTGGTATATGATATATATTCGCCCGCAACCCAAGCACTGCCTGTGCGGAGCACTGTGTCTCCGTCTCCGCTGACAGTGTGCGATATTGTAACTACACGGCTTCATTCAGTGATATTAGTAACACATCTCAGCATGTTTGCAGATAAAACACATTCCCTCAGCTGAGAATCTGCATCACTCATAAATAATAGTCAGGAAACGATCTGGTTAAAGGGAGACACTCTTTCCAGCCGATTTAAAAACGAAACTCTGAACATAACCTGCTCCCAACCAGGTTAGCTTCACAGCATAAGTTACCATGGAGATCTAACCTTTGTGGTACTGAAAACTCTGGCTTTAAACTCAACATACCTCACCAACCCACTAACCTCGCTTCGTAGTACAGCCCTCTGGTTCCTCGAACAAGTGTCTGCGTATTCACAACCAGATATAACTTTCTCCTCTGAGCCGCTAAGCAAATTACTGAGCTTTTGTTGAAAATGCAACGATATATTCATGACTTGTTTTTAAAGATTTATGTCTTCAGTAGGAACCTGCCTGAGGCTGAGTGCCTGAGATGGAGAATGTTTAGAGACAGACAAACTCAGGGTTTAGTTGATAGTAAGTAAAATAGAGAACAACACAGGCCTCATCTTTTAAATCAAGGAAACATCCAGTTTGTTAATGACTCCACGTGTTTCCCGTTTCTTGAAATTATGTAGGATCATAATCTTGAATCAGAACCATTTAAGAATTGTCGTACAGACTGTTCAGATTGGGTTTTTTTTCTTGGAAAATATCCCACCCCATTACTTTTCTTATCACAAGTCTCTCGTGTCAGTAGTCAAGTTCTATTACTCATTAATATGCAGTGTTGGACAGCAGGTCCACCTTCTCACGCTGCACCGCTCAGTGCATTTACATGCTCAGGAAAAAATCAGGTCACTGGGAGAAATCAGGTTACACGGGACATCGCAGATCACATGCGCAGCTGAAGCTATCAGTGAGTTCATTGACTGAACAATCCGTGGTAACCGTTTTGAAAGTCAAATAATCATTTTTCAGACAAAAAAAAAACAAAAAAACAATGAAAACCTCTGATGGATCCACGTTTTCAAATGTGAGGATTTGTTGCTTTTCTGTGGTTTAAACTAAATATATTTGGATTTTCGACAGTTGAAGACATTGGATTGAGGTTTAGGAGATATTCACATAGATATGTAGATGAACAAATAATCGTATCTGCATTTTTCATGTTGATGATTGTAGCTGATTTTCAGTGGTTTTGTGGTCTTTTGATGGAGGATGACAAATAACAGACCACACTAAATGAGTAATGATTAGTCTATTATTAGGTTAATTAACAGAACATTAAGTATAGCAAATAATTTGATAACCAGTTAATCTCATTTTAGGTAAAACAACCAAAAGCTGCAGCTGTATGCATCTAAAATGTGAATATTTGCTAATTTTATTTGTCTATTATAACATAAATTGAAAATTTTGTCACAAAACAGGCTTGGACCCAAGTGCAGACACCATGCAGGTAGGGATAAATTGAAATGAAACCAGGTTTATTTAAAAAATAAAACAAAATTCAAACTGTTAGAGAATAAAGAAACTAAACTCTAAGGAAGCTAAACAGGGGATAACTAACCTAATGCAAAGAGGAGACCTAGAAAAATACTTTAAAAAGTAATTAAACTAACTGTGGGACAGATACAAAAGAAGTACAGGGTGATGCTGGTAAAGATGAACAAGAACAGGAATACTCACTATACCAAAACTAACAAGGGTGGGAAAGGGCAGGCAGGCTTGGGGAACGCAGACTGGAGACAGGTTGTAGTCCGGTGGCAGGAGAAAGCTGGTTGGGGGAATGCAGGCTGAAGACAAGTTGACAGATGGCTGTGAAACAGGTAAATGGGATGATGACGTGGCGCACAGTGAACAGAAGTGCTGGTCTTTATGGGAAGGAGGTGATTGGGAGCAGGTGAGACAGGAGTTGCAGCTGTCAGTGATTGTGGTTGATTGGAGGACTGAGAGGCAGAGAGACAGACAGCGAGAGAAAAGCTGAGGCCAAGTCTGGGTGTGGGAGAGAGGAAGAGAAAAAGGGAGCCAGGCAGGGCTGAAACAGGGATCCTGACAAATTTAGATTTTTTTGAACGTTTCTTTATGTCACCTTTTTACATTTTTCACAATATTCTGCCATTTTATTGGCAAAGTCATCAAACTAATCTGCTCTCACTATATGTGTTGCACAATTTTGTCTTGATGTAACAATTTTCTTTGGTTGCTCCAAATTGTTATCATTTCATACCAACAAAGTACATCCTTTTCACATCACTTGCTAGTCATTCTTTCATCTTTTTCTGTTGAAGCGGGAGAAACACAGTTGATGTGGAGAGATTTCTGCCGGAGAAACCCGATCATTAAGCCACATACAGGTTTTAGTTGGTTATTTGAACTGACAGCGCAGTCGGACGAGAATATCTGCAGTGACAGAGCGGCGTACAGTATTTCTTTAAAGTGCTTACGTATACGCACAGGTTTTAAAAAATAGTCCAGTCGAGAAGCAGACGGATGGAAACAACGAGAGCTCTGTGTCAGTTTTAGCTGTACTGTAACTTAAAGTGAAATTATTAGAAATACAGTGACGAACAGCCAAGTGATCTTTACTTTCATTCTTCCGTGCTGATGCTGCAGCGATACTTTCCCCTTCTGAAATTGCTTCGTAGTATACATCACTGTGAAATTAGCTTCCACTGGTAGAAATACAGCTGTTAATAATGCCTCTCTAATCCCTCACCTCGGATATGGAAACATAATTTAGATTTTAAAAAATCAGCAACAGGAAATCCACAGTAACTTTAATGATATGTAAACATGCTGAATTAAAGCGACACGAAGCCTTATATCTGTATGTGTTGAAAGACACTGTGTTCACTTCCTTACAAAAAACCCCCCGAAAAAAAACAGGTATTCTTGCTTGCTGTAGACGGTAGCATTTTTTTGTGTGTGTTTTGGGGCTTTGGGGAAATATTACACATTAAATAACATGCGACTCTGGTCAAACACTGTCAGCAGTGTTGGCTACAGAGGCTTGGATGCGCTTTAAATGTGGAAATCTCAGGGGAGGATTTGAGTTAAATTAATTCTCTCCTGCTTTATAGCTGTTATGTATGAGAAGCAGTGACAAAAATGTGATATAAATGGCAATAAATACATGTGCTCAATTGTAGGCTTTAATGTCCCACCTGGTTTTTCTGGCCTTCTGTGGCCACTGTTCCTGTGAAGGTGTATTACATTGCATGTTTGTGGTTACAGAACTGAGTTTCAACGTAATTTGGTGAAAGCTATAGAGGCCCTGTGTGTTTTGGCAACAAACTTGTGAAATAAATCTGTGCCTTTTCATCACAGGCCTGTGTAAAACTGGATCAGCGAAGCAGTCGCTGTGGTTAATGCAGCCATTACTTCACAAAAATAACTTCTGTCCTCAACGCAGCGTCTCACATCCTGGGAACACATACAGAGATAGATCTCGAGGCTTTCAAGCTCTGCCAGATGTAACAGTTGCTGCACATGGGCCATTGTTAGCTGTGTGAAATGTACGTACAGTGAAATATTGTGGGGGGACAAGCTATGCCAAAGTTCATGGGTAAACATCCCCGAGCTGATCAAATCCTCTTTATACTTAGAGGAGTTTGTTTGAACCATTCCCCGCAGTCCGACCCCCCTTTGTGTGTTATTCTGTCTGCTGATGCCGGTTTATTTGTCTGCCCTGCTTCACAGGAGCTGCTGGAGAAGTTCATGGAGGGAAACATAAGCCTGGATGAGTTCTTGGACTCGTTCCAAAGCTCCAGGAAGACATATCACATCCGCCGGGCTCAAGCAGAGAAAATGCAGGAGGTTGCTCAGGCCAAGAAGCAGCTGAGCAAAACCAAGAGGTCGGAGGAGAGCAAAGTCCCGGAGGTGAAGAAGGACTCGGAGCAGCCACCGGAGCCTCAGCGGCCCAACGGGTTCGTGGCGCAGGGACCTCTCCGAGTGTTCCAGGTCCGCTACGGCCTCACGCCGGCCATCCTCCTGCCTCATTACCCCGTCTCCCCCCCAGCCTCGGCTCCAGGCCACCAGAGCAGTAACCCCCCTCCGGAGCCCCAGCTGGGACAGACCCACATCCTCAGCCCCAGCACCCCGCTGCCGGGACACGGCCATCCGGTTGGCCTCAGGGTCATTGGACAGCTATCGGGCGGCTGGCCAGCTAACGGGCGGCCGGTGCGAGTGCAGCAGCTTTACAGGCCAAACCCTCAACAGCCCGAACCGCCGTACCGATAAGCCCGAGGGGTGGGGGGGAGGATGAAAAGCCGGCTCGAGAGGTCTTCCAAGACGTGGAACCAAACAGTGGCTGTCAAAATCATGTAAGCAAAGACTGATCCAGAGACAGGCAGCACTGCAGACGCCCGTTTCTGTTCTCCATCCATGACACACAAATGTAACCATCAAGGGAAGCAGAGCAGAGGTAGTGAGGCGGCAGACCACAGAGGCAGGGAGGACTAGGGATGGGCAGCGATAGCCACTTCCAATATGGATCCGGTAAACCAGTCTATTGGATCTCTACTTATTCTTTCTCATTTGTGGAAAACACACAGGAAGCAGCTTCTCGTATCTGCTTAAAATGACACACATCTCCGGCTGCAGCTTGTCTCAGCTGCAGCTAATAAAAGTTTATTTGTAAGCTAAAGTGGTTCAGCCAGAGATGGGAACTTGTGCAAGAACATACACATTTTTCAGTGACATCTCTCCATAAAAGTTCGACAACAGATTCCTTACATACTCCAAACTGCACAGAATTGTGTTAAATTGCTTGTTTCAGCCTGTTGTTGGGGAGGTTTAAAAAATTATCACGAACATCATAAAAATGTTACCAAAGAAGAAAAATCACAACTCAGACCTGAAAGGTTGAGAGAAGTGGAATTAGAAACCCTGAACTATCAGAAATATTAAGAGTAAGCCACCAACAACTGTGATACAAATAAAAACTTAATATGATGCCAGATGCTAAAAACGTCTCTTTAAAGCAAAGCGGCTCTCGACTGAAATTTCAGGTCATCTGACAGTTACAGAAATATCAAAGCCCTTTTCAGACATGTGATACGTAACATTGCTGCTTCATGACTGTGTTAAAATGGCGGCATTCTGTTATTTAAATTTATGTTACATTTATGTTCCTCATGGCTTCATTCAGACTCATGAGCTGTGTTACCATAATGTATTTTTAAGTGCATTTTGAAGTATCACGTTCATGCAAATGGAAAAAAAAAATTTAAAAAGCATAAAGCGTAAAAAAATGAAAAAGTGTAAAGATTTTAAAAATCTTTACGCTTGCTTGAGGTAGCTTTTGACTTACGAAAAAAATTAATGCGCATAATGTGAGATGGAAATGAACATTTAACTTACATTGAAGATGAGCTGTTTCTGCTTCTTTCATTGTCTTTGGCAGCTGAAACATGGCCAATAGTAGCTGGCATGAAAGAATAATTCACAACTCTCCTGAATTATATAAATTTCTGAAGATTTTCCTCCATTTTTAGCTCGTAGACAGACTTGTTTGTGTTTTCTTCCTACTTTATGTGTTTTTGGTGATTGGCACACAGTTGGTTTTGTTCCTGCCTTCTTCTGCTTCGAGTAAATTTTGCAACATTTCAAAATTTCACTTCAGATTTGCTTGACAATTATATGGAAACACGGTTTGCAGGCAAGATTTGGCTGCATATCAGAGTTTAAGCAGCTACTAATTAAAGACTAAAAATAGCCTAATAAAACTATCCAACAAAGTATTCATATCATGAATATCAAACACGTGTTACAGATCAACAACCGTTGTGAGATGTTCATATTAATGGTTGCAGTAATGCTACTATCAAGACAGGCAGCTTTCTTCTTGTCCCCAGACACCATGCTGAATTTGTGTGCCCTTCCATTAATGCAGTTCAAACTAATGTTTCTAAGTCTGACCTGGTCGCAACTTTACAGAAAAGTGAGCAGAGATCTCATTGAAACACGAAGCCGCCAGATTCAAATGCTGTCAGATTATTGGAAAGGAGCACACGTCTGAAAGGGGTTGCAACCTGCAGCAGGTGGAGTTACCTTGTCAGGTGTTGTAACGGAAGGTGATTGAGGACAGAAACCTGCAAAAACCACCTGACGAAGCTGTTTTCTGAGATTATCTGAGAGAATTTACTCAACAACTACTGAAATGTATATATTTGTGCTGAAATATACCAATAAAATCTAAAAAAAAAATTAAATCTCAGTAAATTGGCATTTACTATGATAACATGGTGTAAATTAAAGTTTCATTTGTGTTTTATTTCAGCTAATTTTGGCATCATATTTGAACCTCAGGTTCGTTCAGATTCAGGTCAAATATATGTTTCATCCTCTGTGGAGAAAAAGAAGACAATGTATGTCAGACTGCTTGTGCATTACATTCGCAAGTCGCTCATCTGTGCCATTTAAGAACAAATCTGTGTTTTGTATTGTTTTTTGGGTTTTTTTGCATGAGCTCTGTTCTGCATTGTTCTGCAACGCAACCATGCTGCCACTGTGGATTGCGTTTCATAGCTCACAGTTTCTCCACAGAAGTGATGAGTTGATTAACAAGCTCCTCGTTAAAAATACCTTGAATATTTGCAGCGAGTAGCTGGTGAAGTACAGTAGCCTGCAGCAGTTAATTCAATGTGTCAGATACATTTAATTAACATTTCATATGTTACGCTGCTTGTCTCATTTCCATTAATTAGGCTGCCAATAAAACCTGTAGTGTTTCTCCTTTCTCAGCCAACAAAAGCTGATTAAACATCTCAGAGTTGTTGTTTTAACCTTTAGTTGCTGGAGATAAGATTCGACTCGGTGCTGGATTTCGACAAAACGCTATCGAACCCCATCCCTAGTGAGAAGACAGAAGTTTGCATTGTTATTTCTAATTATATTTTATAATTTACACTGATGGATGTGAAGCACAGGGTTGTGAAGCACATCTACGACGCTGGAGGGGAGGGAAAAAAAAGGATCTCATTGTTCATTCATACAGCTTAGGACAGAGAGAGGCTTTGTCAGATACGAGGAGTCATCAAAATGAACGATGACATCAATAAAGTGGCGTTTAATATAAACTCTCATTGTTTTTCATCTTACCAAATAACGCAGTGACATTCACACTTGGAATCATTCCCGAGATCATTAATGCTGATACGAGATCACTGCCGAGCAAATATCAAACAAAGACATACTGCAGAGCAGTGCAGGTGGTATTTATTAATAATTTCCCGGACTATAACCTGTCAATATTATTTGCAATGTCATGTGTGTTTGAATTACGGTCGATTACCCAAAGCCTTCTGCCTTCTTGTGCAATTTCATTAACAGTGTTGCGGCTCGCACCAGTGAGCGATTTATTTATTCATGTAAATCCTATTTTAAATGGCTGACTTCAAAGCGTCTTGTTTACCGTGCTAAATGAAGAGCCGCTTCTCCTTTCAAGGCAGCCAGTGTTTTTATTTCTCCCTCCAAGTGAGCTGCAGAGTGAGGGGAATTTAATCTCTATGAGAATGCCAGCGCTCTGCGAGCCCACAGTCCAATCACAAGGAGGTTTAGGAGGTTTCCTTCTTCATTTCATTCTCCTTTTTCCTCATCATCCATCCTGCAGCCTTTAAAAGGAAAAGCTTCAGATTGTAGTTGCAATGATTCTGTTCTTGAACGTACATTTCGCTTATAAATAACTCATAAGTGCATGCTTACTACAGCTTGACAAAGTACATGAAAATGCCTTTTACAGGCCAGTGCCCAGTTGCATAAAACATCTTCCACTGTAAGGAAATCGTTTTAATTTAACTTGGAAAACATCCTTAAATAAGTAAGGATGCATTTCAAGGCTCTGAGGATTTCTTTAAAGGGGAAATCCTGTCGGTTTTTTGTTTGTTTGTTTGTTTTTTTCTTACAACTAGGGTCACATTTTTGTAATTTCAGCTGTCTTTTCTGTCTAATAACATGCAGAAAGTAAAATCCCAAACTTCTCAATAAAACTAACACAGATTTACTCCAAATTCATTTCGGTAACTCTGCAAACAACTTTGCACTGCAGCTCTCTCTTCTGAAAGGTTAATGTTTGCATCCCTACAAGTAAAAGAAGGCCTTGTTAACTGAAGTAGAAAGCAACAAAAGGTCACTTACAAGATCGCGTATTACCTGGAATTTAAACTGACCAACCAATGCTTCTGTCAAAGACATGCAGCTTCTGTTACAAACTAATGAGCTATATAGATGCTTTTTACATTATTAGCCTTGTTTTCTGTGTTTTTATGTCTGTTTTGCATTTTTGTGTTCTTATTTATTATGAGGTAAACAATTAAATAAACAAAACATAAGTTGTCAGACACGTTGTTAAGAAGATTATCCAAATTTATTTGAAACAGAAAAAGATTTTCCTTAAATTCTCCTTTTTATTGCTGCCTTGTTTTTGTGTTATGACTGATAAAAAAGTGATGGCTAAAACTCTGACAAAAAGATCTGGCTGTTCTTTTAAAGTCTGTCTTCAGGTGCGCAAACATCCTGAACAATAAAAAGAGAGAAATGCGCTTAAGGTACTTTTTTTTTTTTTTTTTTATTGGTGAAAAAGATGGAAGTGTGTTTAAAAAAGGGTTTGGTAACAGGTAACACCCAGTATTCCATTTTGTTTGTTGACTGCATGATATTTTTGGAGTCAAACCTCAACATCAGCTTCTTTTCTTCATTGCTTTCAATTTTGTTTTTGAAATTATGTTCATTTAATGTCATGCCTTTTGATCACAGAGTTTCATTATATCCTGACATACCTCTTTTAATGTGCACATTAATTAACACCAGCAACGTGTCGAAATCACTCTGTTTTTTAAAATATATTTCTTGCAACACCCTTAAAGGAAAAGGAATACATTTTGGGACATATGTTTGTGAGTCAGTTAAAAAAAGATTCATATTAACTTCATGTCTGCTTTAATATGAAGTTAGGAAAAGGAACCAGTTTCACAAGGATGTAGAAGACTTCTGTGTGGTGTTGGATTAGTCTGAATTGTTCTCATAGATTACTCTCCTACATGTTAGTTTCACAAGGACAGCTTCTAAGTTAGTCACACCTCCAGGATAAGTTACTGACTAGGATGTTTCCAAACTCCTCTGTATTATCTTCAGCACCAAATCCTTAGAGCGATTAGGCGTGTTCTGTGCTAAAAATTAAAAATTCTTTTTTAGCATCTTCCAAAAACACATTTGTGGATCTTTTTGAATGTTTTTCACGCTCTTGTTGATCAATTTTCTCAGTAACACAAATGTTAAATTCCTCAAAAAGGCAAATGTTTTTATCCAGAATTCATCACAAATTAGTTTTGTTTGTGCAACAGATCCATTTAGGTGTCTATATGAAGACTAAATGCATACTCAAAGACTTTCTTTGTGAAATTGGCCACAGGAGACAGTTAGCTTTCACTTTACCACCTGTTTCCGGTCTTTGTGCTAAGCTAAGCTAACCAGCTGCTGGTTGTGTGTGCTTGGCATACTGAAAAAGCATATTTCCTGAAATGTTGATTTCTTCCTTTAACCGCAGCATCAAAATGAAAGAAAATGAATGTTTAAAAACTTGATCCGGACGTGAACCTTTGATGCATCTGGGCACTGGCTCCAACCAAACTTGCAGTTGTGCATCCACTCAGGGTCTTAGGGAGGGAAAAAACTGCAGTCTCGCTTGTTATCCTGTAGCACAGATGGACCCAGGGTGCCAGTGAGCTCGTACCCATGGATGTCATGTTGCCCCCTTTTACAGGACGCTCTGCCCATAACACCATAACACCAAGTCACCTCCTCAGACATCCCACTGCTGCGTAGAGATTTTACCGAATGAACGTTCAAATGCTGTTACTGCTCAAACTCCTGACAGTGATTTTTTTTTTTGTAACAGTGCTGTCTGAATCCTCCAAATTCACTGTTTTTTTGTTTTTTTTTATTCAGACCTGATGGATGCTTATGTGTTTGGAATATCCTGATGTAAAGTGCTTGTTTCTGCGACTGTGGTTTTGTTTGTCCAGTCTGTTATGTTGTGTGTCTCTTTTCTAACTTGGACTACTCCCAGCAGCCTTCTAAAAATAACAAAAAAAGATCAGTAGTAAAACAGATGTTGCTTTAAATTTAAATAAAGTGCAGCCACTCACTGAACCAAACACCCTTGAACGTTTCAGACAATCTGCATCTCAGCATCTCTGATGAAGGGGTCTGTGGCTGCAGGCTTTCATACTAGATGATTATGAGCAATGTCAAAGCCGATCAGCGCAGCAGTGAGTGAAGACGAGCTAATAATATCCAAGTTAACTTGTTTGCGTCCCTTCTGCAGTTTATGCTGTGGGACAGTATGTGTGAGTGGATTCGCGTGGCTGTCAGAACCTGTCAGAACAGAAAGAGCTGAAAGAGGAAAATGTCAGCTCCTTGATCTGATTAAACAAAGACAAGGAAAAATAATGTGACTCCTATGTGTAAATAAAAGAAAATGAGGCCTCCTATATAAAGTAATTATGGATTGATAGTGAGAAAAAAGTTTTAGTTCTCTATAAAACCTTTCACAACAGTACACAGTTGACTTGGAGACTTGTTTTGTATACATTAGTTATGATTAACATTAAAGGGCTCTTCAGTTGTACCACTTACATACATACATTTTGTCACGTAAATCCCATTTAGCAAACTAAAATCTCCAGTGTAAGTTTTGTGCTGCACAACACGTGGCAGTGATGTGCTGTGACGGCTACTTTCCAACCCAAAATAATTACACTAAATGATCTAAAGACACACATTTTATATTTTCCAGCCTATTAAACCAAAAATAAGGAACCCAGGAGAAGCTTCAGAGGCACAGCAGCTTGTTAAAGATGGAAATGTTTCAGTCCGTGAGCACACACGAAGGAGAAAGGGTAGGCTGCACTTATTGACATGTAATACAGCAGGTTCTGTGTGGACGCTCTCTTGTCAACAAGGTCTAAACTTAAACTGGAATTCAAAGTGTCGTAGCTGAGTGCTGAAAGTGAATCCTTATTTATCCAAGTTATTCACAATAAGTAAAGTAGGTTGCAAATACACAGGAGGAGTCAAACATACCTCAGTGCTGCGCAGAGGAACCAGCAAAACATCCAAAAAACAACTAAAAATAAGCAGAAGTACAACAACTATGAAGTCGTGTAGGAGCAGTGGTTCCCAACATGTGGGTCAGGGTGCCACAAGTGGCCGCTGGATTAACTTGAGTTTCCCCGAGATAATTAAAGGTGCAGCTCCATCTCCTAAAAATACACTCAACCATAACTAAAATTTCTCCGTATTTTCTGCTGGTTTGTCTGTGACAAAACACATGTAAGTGTCAAATTTCACATATCTGTGCTATTTCTTCTATTGCTTTGCTGTCGCTTCTTTTCAGCTAATCAGTCGTATATTAGAAGGGGCGGGACTTGAATTTATGAATTCATGAATTTTAACCTGAACAGGGTTATTTTCCCAAACCTAACCACGTATTTTTGGAGCCTAAACCAAACCGAACAGCAAATGAAAATCTTAACTCAAGTTTAAGAATAGAAGTTACTGACTGATTCCTCCATCCAGACTTTATGGTTCCTTCAAAATAAAAGCTTATCCTTCTACATGACAGTCTTACCTTGTGTGAAAATACATTTCTTTGAAAATGTAAATAAGAATGTATTTTAATTGTACAGGAATGTACATTTTGGGAGAAGCTGTTGAAAGTTGAAGTGCTCTCTGTATGTGGACAAAAAGTTGTATTAAACCTCTGGAGGTCCCATGGATGAATCATAGGAGGTGGATAGTAAAATCAAAGATGTTGTCATCTCATTTCAAAGAGAGCTGGTCACAAGAAGACCATAGACTTTGTGCAATTAGGACTCACTTTTCCTGGGACAGCTTAACAAATAGAAATGACAAGAGTAAAGTTAAGAATAAAAAGAAAGAACGGGCCTCCATGAGGAAGCTGTGTTAAGTCTGATAAATTAGTTGGGTCTGAAGACTTTTTTTTTATTTATTTATTTATTTTGCATTTTCCGCATATCTTTTTAAACACTTGTTTACTTATAACTGTTCAAAAAAAAATTTTTAGTGCAAGATAGTGACATGTAACAATAATCATTACCCGACTCAGCAGTTCCCTCTAACAGTTGGAGCTTCTTTCAGCTTCATGTTTCGGTTTTATGGCCTGTAACTTCACTGTTCTGTTTCAGTCACAGCATTTGAGCCACAGCAGGCAGCTGTTTCCCATGTAAGAACAACAGACAGACACAGTTAGGTGGAGATCACAGCGGAATATTTAACAGCTAAAGAGCTAGATATTTCCCCAAAGACCAAAAACAGAACTAAAAAAATGAGAGCAAACATTGGACTTTGACTAACTCAGTGCTAAAACAAAAGTTGGGAAAATTAGTCTTTGAAGTCAAACCTGATTAATTAGTTTTTTTTAATGAAGGCAAACTCTAAAGCTACAGAATCTGTGTCCCATTTGTTCTGATTTACAGAGGCAATAAGGATTTGATAGCAAAGAGAATAAAATCACCTATCTTACTGCCAGCAGGTGTGTGAGTGAAAGGTCACTGGTTTATATCACTGGTCCAGCTGGGAGAGAAAGTCATGGCTGTTCGCAAATCTCTCCAGTAACTGTCAGGGAGGTGACGCCCACCACAGTGACCTCATACGTCCTCTAAAGTGGCTGGAAAACCAGTAAAACGCTGCTTCAAACAGACCAATAATGCTTTGAATTAGGAATATATTGCAAAGTAAATTACACACAGCCTCCAGCCCCTCCTACAAGACATTTTAAACCAGGCTTTATGACGAAGATGGGTTAAAATCACACTGAAATATTTATATTAAGTACATTAGGCCATGCTCAGCTTCCCTCTGAAGCTGCTGAGACGTAAATGTGATGAATATTTTAGCTGGCAGTTGACCAGCTGGTCGGCTGAGACGCTGTTTGAACATCTGATTTACTGCAAAACAACGACTATGTGTGTGTGTGTGTGTGTGTGTGTGTGTGTGTGTGTGTGTGTGTGTGTGTGTGTGTTCAGTGTGTTCAGTAGACAGTTTCAAGAGTGATAGTGTAACGGGGTTGTGCAATGTTTTCTTCACACTGTCACTGAGAAATCTCTACACCACGGTCGCCCTATCTGGATGTAGCACAGTCACCCTGGAGGACAGCCGCGAAAGCAGAAGCAGCTGCTTCACTCACATCAATCCTGCAGTTTTTTTTTCAGAGTATGTCACACTGGTTATCTTTAAACTCCATTAATCAGTATTTTTAGCCGCGTTAGCTGCTCCAACTCTGGGGACGTCAATGTCGGACAGTCGAGCCACCATTTCTGGTCTGAGCTGAAATAATTAGGTTGGGTCCTCTGAAGATGAACCCAATTGACTTCCTCTCCAGTCCAGAATGAGGTTCACATATGGATTTAGTGGATGTATGCGTTGTCGGAGAAGTGACAAAATGTACATTGGCAGAGTCAAAATACTGTTTCGGAACATAGACTGTATAAAAGATGGACGTAGCAACTGGCCCTGAAAAATGAAGCCAACCCGGAAGTGTCAAAAACCTGTAATATCACTACGTCCACTAGTCCTGGCTCCAAAAAGCCCTGGCTCCCATAGACTTGAATTGGAAAAGAAGTGATCACAGATCACGAAATACCGCATTCCTACAGCTCAGGATTTTTTTAAAAAAATTAGTTTTCATGGTCAAGTCCAGAGATCAGGTGGCCAATCTGAAAATAAATCAATACTGAATTTTTTAAAAATCAGCAAAATTTTGCGGGGCAAAGGGTGTGGCTGGCTTGATTGACAGTCGGCAGGACGATGCAGGCGGTAAATGTGGGCGGGCAGAGAGGGCCCGCCTCTCAATCCGTCTGACCAATCGCTGCTCCTATGGCTCCGCCCCCCTCCGACGATTTTTGCGTCACTGGCTCCAAAAATCCAAGATGTCAACCAGGAAGTAGCAAAACCCTGGCCTCATTTTCTCAGTGCAGAAACCAACGGGTGACGTCACGGTAGCTACGTCCATCTTTTATACAGTCTATGTTTTGGAAGAAGAAGAAGTTTTTCTCAACTGGAGACAGTGAATAAGTGTCTAAAAAATGAAAAGCACAGCTTGAATTACACAGCACAAATGTGTCCTAAATGAAAGGCAGCTCCATCAGTTGCACTAATTAATTAATTGATTAATAGTTAATTAAAAGTCAGTGCAGTTGCTCAGTGCTTATTACCAGCAAGTAGGACCTATAAGAAGAAGGTCTGAGTGCAAGCTGCTCATTCTGTTTCCTCCCTCCGTCCAAAAATATCAGACGATGGGAGATAAAATTTCAATTTCCAGTTTAAGAACTCGGCCAAATTTACTGAACGCATCTGAATCTGCCAGTCAGTCGGAAAACTGCTATTTGTAGATCTCGAGATGACATGATTTTGAATAACATAATATTGGATTTTCTTTTTATGAAATGCCCCAAAATAGATGAGAAGATTCAGATTTTTCATTTCTCTGGAGCTGCAAGTGACATCTTCCTTGTTTCAAGAGTCAATAATCTATCCAAAAAGATCAATTCAGGAAGATAAAAAACTTCACTTTGCTTTATTTGGATGCTGGTCGGCTTCTATCGCTCAACAACACCATGAATGTCCAAAAAGTGGCTAGGACATAAACACAGTTTATATATGAAGCCTCTGTTGTTTTAAACATGATTAGCAGGAAGGATGTGAATGAAATCTACTTATTGTCAGTTTACCTGGTTGAAATGAGGCTGCTGGGAAAGTTCTTATGCATGCTCAGCTTTACATAAGAAATCTAGTAATATGATCATGTGGACATATTATTGAAGAAGACTTTTCAGTGGGAGAACATCTCTTGTTGCTACAGTTTGTGTCCTGCCAACACTGCAAAATTCAAGTGACCTTAAACAACATGTTTACATGTAAAATATTCTCCATTTTCTTCCCGTATGGACCCAGGAGTTGTCAATAAAATACATTTGCCTCTC